GTGGTACAAATATTTGGCAGAATGGAAAAATCTAGAGACAATAAAAAGACTGGACTGGGAAAAGGGCAAAAGGTAATTGCCCCGACACCCATTTTGTGAGGAAGGAGGAAGGAGTCTTGTAGAGATGTGAAAACGAGGACAAAAGAGGCTTGGGTGTCGCAATAACAGCCTCGGAAGCACTACAGTAGCGCAGCGGAACCACCTAGTCCAGCTGCTCATTAATACCATCTAATGTCTGAAGAACACAGCCAGAGCAACGATTCCAGCTAGACATGTTACTGGTTATTTCTCCATGGTAAACCTCTCTATGAGATAATCAGTAAGCTCAGGAAATGACATGATGTGAGGCCATCTTGTAATCTAGAAAGATCTTAAAGGAATTACGAGGGCGATGATTCGGAAATCTTCAGCGGATTGAAAAATATATGTCCTACACAACCAAAGATTATAGGTTCTGGAATGCATATCTAGATCACCTTTTTAAAGAGATGATTGATGACTATATTGGCTATGATCAAAATTTTGAAAACTAGTGACTGGAGACTGGCGCCTAATCGTAATGGTAGTGACATCATACTGCTAATAATGATAGTAATAATAATAATAATAATAATAATGATAATAATTATGATGACGATGATGTCTTGCAGAAGTAGAATTACAAATGATGGGATGATGGGAGCTACTCAATGGGGCTTAAACATTCTGTTACAGAAATGGAAGCCTCTTGTAGTACCTAAAAAGGAAGGAAGCAGTGGCGTAGCGTGAGCGCAGAACTTAGGCATGCGGTAACATAAAATATACGGCTATGTTGAATAAATGTAATGGTAATTTCAGTTTCTAAAAAATACAAGCGGTAATTAATGATAATCGTGATAGCAAATTTTGATTTTCAAAGTAACAAATTATTTGTACTCTAATTCTAATCAATCAAGGTGTCTATTCTTAGCATCAGAGGCTCCGACAGAGGTTGGAAAGTGAAGAGGGGCCAAGGGAAAAATTATCATCCATGCGAAAGTTTTTGAAAAAAGCTCAATTGTTTAGCAAGACTTTTCAGAATAACTCCTAGTGCTAAAACTGCTTTGCAAAAGATTTTATTCTTATTCATATTCCTCAAGAAAAGGCATCACCTAATGCCCACCTAATGTAAGAATTTTTTATGCTATAATGAAGCTGGGGATTCCCGCAAGAAGGAGCTCTCCACATTGCGAAATTGTTAACACACTGCAGAGCCAGAGCGAACAGGAGCAACAGTTTCTGCTCATTTTTTACTCTCATAGTTAACTAAGATGAAAATAGTGAGCTGTGAGAGTTGTTAGAATTGAAGATGCTTCCATGTGTAAAGTTTCAGAAAGTTAGTCCCGGCAAATCATCATGTATTTGGCAAGGCTTGCGCTCAGGTCTACCGCATGCCCTGGTCCGTAAATTCTGACTATACTGGCAAGCCTTTTGACTTGAATTACGGAATGCGGATCATGACAAATAGACTCTGAACCCACTTTGACGAAACTTTTTCTCTTTTCAACAGTCACAAAGTAAAGAAAGGAAAATAATTGGATTTGAAATGATGTATCACGCAAAGAGTATTCGCAAAAAGCAGCTTATAGGTAGAAAAATGTTATGGATTATCAAATATTTGGGAAGGCTTGCGCTCAGGCCGACCGCAAGCTCCAGTCCGGAAAATTCTCACTTCTCTCAGAAGCTTCTTTCGAGTTGCACTGAAGCTGCACTGGAGCATCACATGTTTCTCTTATTTTGGACAGGCAAAAAGAGTGATGTGGAGGGGCTTCAGTTTTTCAGATTTTTCGAATTTCATAATTTTTAGCGATCTGTTTACTTGGAAAAATAGCCAATTGGGGCCAATTGGCCTGTTGGCGCTAGAGTTCACTGCATGCTGCTCATGACAAGAAAGAGAAGCCGTTTATTGCGGAAATTGTTATGCATTGAAAGTGTTGCAAGAATTTTAGAATTTATCTATAAATTTTTACGCTTGCGCCGCAAGCGTAGCATACATAGACGCTACGCCACTGGAAGGAAGACGCTCTGTCCCTCAATGCATCAACAGGAAGGTAGAGGGCAAAACCATATCGTGATCTGGAAACAAGCTTTTTATAGCATTGTGGCGTTAAATGCCACGATTGCTGGTCCTACTAACGTGATTCCTTCCATCATCACGCTATAATATCTACAACGATCGTTCGTGATCTCAGATTATTGTGATTATCCATGGTTAGGACAATCTGATTATCTCTAGTCAAGAGAATGGCACCAGATGTGCTTTACTAAACACACTACCCTGTGTCATAGACCCCTTGTATCTGGCAAAGAAAGCGACGCAATCCAAGGTTGGGTGTATTACCCCACCAGTGGCTTGTATTCCGTTAAGTATCCGAGACCATTCCATTTCAGGTTTTCTTTAATCAAAGGGGCTTCTTAACAAATCATAAAAAGAACCACAAATGATGATACAAATGAAAGTTGCCCGCGTAAACATACATTTGCACAGACTCTCGTGCAGGCCTAAATACACGAGACAACATTTTTACCAACAACTTATCAACATTGGATCTTCTCTCAAGCATGTTATCAGTGACGTTAAGAAAACCGCTAAAATTCTAATCCTAATTTGCAAAAGTAATAGTTACTGGGATTGGGAATAGGGTACTACCAAATAGGACAGAAAAGTATTTCACTTGAACTGTGTAGCTTGTCGTCTACTAGGCCTTTCTCTTTCAGCGGGAGTCATACGTCAAATATGTTCTTGGTGTTGTACATTGCGACAGGCAATACACTCTTGCAAACAGCGTACGAGATTTCCACAAAAACAAAAGGATTTCCAGGGATTTTCAGATAAAAAAAATAGACTTGCCCCTCGGTACAATGTATATGACACTACCGTTTGGGTTTTCTGCTTTCAGCAGTGTGGCAGTATTTATCAAGTGAAGTTGAAGTTGAGTTTTTCAAATAAGAGACAGATGAATCACAAATTGCTGTTTTCAAAGCCTAGACGCTTATAGACACGCCCATCTTTGGTTATCTTGGTTATCTAGTCATTCATCAAACATAAGTGTTTATGAATCTCGATTCTCGCCATGTTCGCGGAAATTGCTAAATTATAGGTAATTGCATTAGCATTTATGACTTATTGTTGTTTTCGAGGAGAGTATATAGTTGGAAGTTGGAGTAGTTTGAGTAAAAACATCAACCACATCGCCATAACGCAGATGTTTTAAACAACGAGAAACATGCGATTAAATTCCTTGCAAAAATCCTTTAGTGAAGCACATTGGATATGTCTCGAAAGTTTGGCCTACGTGTTTTGGTGTGCTTCTGTAAGCGATAGAACAGGTAGATCACGTTTCACAATTTGTAAGGAAATGCCACTACTCTTAAAACTTTTACCCAAATAGATAGCGGAAGTGTCTGACATGTTTTACAGTCGGCCTGCACGAACAAGTAGAGCCTGCCATGCGTTCCATTAACACAAATCATGCTAGTTCTTTGTTTATTAGAGCAAAATTTCGAACTGCACGACTGGAAACAGTAGTTGTTTTAGGTCAAAGTGAGATCCACGTCATTCACTCGGCGGTCTTATGTGATTTAAGTATGGAAAGGTGGTGATGTCGGCCTTTGTCAAACTGCTCTTTGTCAAAATACAGCAGTTGTTTATGTACATCGACCAAAAAATCACATGAATTTTTATGACTAATAAAACCTGCTGAATATAGACACAGCTTTGCAAAATATAAATCTATTAGCATAGAGAGATATTGCCATGCGGTTGCAAACATTCCAATAGGGGTGTGATAAAAGACCTTGAACTTCTTTTTGCTTGAACTAAAACAGTCAGTGACAGACAAGTTGATGCTGTTCACTGGACTGAAATTTGCAATATTGCAATGATTGCAACACACAAAACATGTCAGTTATATGTCCCCTTTTTGTCCTCGAAGCCCCCTGTTCTTCGTTGATATATCTCGATATTTCATTCACATACTCGTGATTTTGGATTTTCAACAGGCTAACGAACAAAAATACTCACGACGATAAACTACACCTGAAACCCCGAGAAAGCTTTGATGTCTCCTTTAATTTTTCTTTGGCAAACATAAACAAATTTGCCCAGGGCAGGGTAAATACACGAAAATTATCGCTGTAAAGAGATTTGATAGCGATTAGCTTTTTGTCCTTTGCGTTTAAAAGACTCAACGAAGAACAATGACGTGTGCATCGCCGTTCAATTCCTATTAGTAAAACGACTGGATATCAAAATTAACCCTTGCTGTCGATTGTCCTTACACTGTGTTTGTTTTCTAAAACAAGCAGCCTGTACTTTTTATTGCAGAGCAAATTGAGGACGCAACAGATTTAGCCATTTAATCGCGATTATCGATCGCAAGCGAACATCAAGGGCTAACCATTGGTGCTTGATACAGAAACCTGCGATCAGTCCAGCTTCAAAGACAGTTTCATCGTAACTTATCCTAAATCTTTGTTATGTCTTTAGGGGTGGAGGTTTCTCGATCTTCAATACAATTGTTTTTAATCTTTTATTAACAAGACCTTACAGTATCATTTCATGTTAGTTGTACATATCTATGATTGCGTATCCCTCTCGTTCAAAAATCTTATAATTGGTCTAATCGATGTTTCTCTCGCCTCTAATAGGATTTTGGTCTACCCAAAACAAAGTAAACTAAACGAAATTAACTGAAAGGTTTCACAAAATGATCGTAATTAGATAATACTGACGTTTATTTGATGTAGGTTGAACTCGGGTCTGAATTAAAGAGCACCCTGCATTGGTGATTTAAAACAGAGCATATGGTATCATAAATAATTGGCATTATGAACAAATTCAGTAATTTCTGAATTAAAGTTTACGACGATTGAAGATGATCACAGCGTCAGTAGACCTTTGTTAGTAAAGTGTCAGGGTTTGCAACATAAAAAGCAGTTACACGAAGGAGCGACGGAGGGTCACGACATGATTCGCTCACCTGAATATCTTGCTCCGCTGTCGACCTCAGAAACCATTTTGAAGCAGACGAGTAAAAACATTAACGGCCTGAACATTATGATCGAATTGCAGTATTACTTTGTATCATCGCTGCACAAGGAACGACCAAAGTACACTTGGAAATTTTTGCACAGCAGCCAACAGGGCATTTAACTTGAGATACCTTGGTGCCAATTTGGTGATGAGCTCTGAAAATTACTGTTGATGATTTCCAGCTGTACGCATCACTCGAGTTCGCCAGGACCATTCCTTTGTACTGCCGTACTTGTTAAGTCGATTTGCTCGCGATTCTCCCATAAAATGCGGATTTCAAAAACATCATACACCAATATCTAACCTTCTTACAGGCCATTAATAAGCCTTTGTACACCGAGGAGAAAATTTGATACCCTTCAAATCCTCGCAGCTTGGTTTGCTTATTGTCCAACAAAACTTCAAAAACTGCAATGTTTTGATAAATCCATAACTAGTGCCTTTTCATCCTTGATTATTCATGTTGGCGTTGAGCAATTAACAACGAATAGCGATACATTTCGCTAGCATCCTGTAACACAATTTATGATTGGCACCCGATCACCTAAACCATGTATTGTTTTGAAAACAACGCTTTCGGAAGATCACATTGTAGTCTGGATTAGGTTTTGATTGATGGATGACGTCAACCGTCACTCGCAGGGCTCTCGACTGTAGGCTTGGTGAAAACCTTGGCGAAATAAATAATTCACATCGTTGAAATTTCAACCAATATTTCAACTCAAAACGCCCACATTAACATCCGATAAATCGAGCTCTAAAGGGGAATCAAAATTTGTTCGAATCATCGAAAGTTCGAATTATCCAGGGCTCAACTAAAGAAGCGTATTGACGAAGGCAAATTTAAGCAAACAGGCCATTGAATAATTAGACCTATTCCAGGGTCGTAACGGAAGAAACTGCGGGAAATTTGTTCCCACCCATCCAGAAAGTTTTTGGGGCCTCTTTTGTTGCTTTTCCGCCCCCTTTCTTTTTTCACTGCACTCTCTTATCAGAATAACAAGATAATGTTTGCCAAGGCTCGTTGTCCTTATTTTCTGGATAATTTTGAGGCTCGATTTGTCTCCGTTTGCTATAAATTGCTTCTTAAGACCACTAAACAACATTTAGTTGCAAAACACATTTTCAAAAGAACCATTATAAGTTAAGGCGGACTGTTTTTGATTTTATTCGAAATCTGAGGCTGGATCGTTCTTAATTTGTTCTTAAATTACGTAATAGCTTTATCGCTCTAGGGAGGTGTTCGGGCCTCATTTGCCAACAAAGTGAGGAGACAAAGACAGCCTTCATTTGTCGACAAGTTTGAATATTCCCCGAAAAGCACCCACACATAGTCAAAAACCCTCTTTTTGAGATAAAACGTTGTTCAAAATTGCATTTTACAGTAACTCAAGCCTCAGCTTGCTCTTATTTTGTTTTAATTTGACCAATTTTGAGTTTTAAAATTCTTCTTTTACAGAGTATATCTATTTTCTGGGCAAATCTAACCTTAGTGCTCTAATTTAAGTGGATTCTTGTAAAAATAGAGTGCATTCCCACGAACGTCCATACAAAGCATTTCTCAAAATCATTCCATACTTTTATTAGAATGATTCGTATTGAAGTATCGCAGTTAAAAATTTAATCGGCAGTTTGACATTTTATCTGTATGAGATTTTGAACAAAAAAGACAAACCTAACTTTCACGATAAAGGTCAAGGTTTACTCTTCAAGCTTGTATCGTGCCTGTATTTTTCTTTCTTTCTTTCTCTCTATTTGCCAAAAGTGCATGTTTTTTGGCCAAAAAAGATTCACGAATGATTTAAGGCTCATGATCACAATTTTTAAAGAATTTTGTAAGGCATTCTTACAGTATAACAATTAATGCTAATGCGTATAATATTCATTGTGTATTTAATTCTTATATTCCGAATCTTTTTATTTGAATCGAGACTTACTAGTTTTATTTGAATCGTATCAACAAGATAAAATAAGATGTCAACTGACTTTGGTAGACCGAGGGGAGTATCACCCCACAAAAATCTCGACACGCCTTTGATAGAAACCTTTCTGTTTTCGAGAATAATTTCTTAGAATCCCTACAGGGCCTTTGACGAAGGAGGGCTGGGAGGCCATAGCACCCTCCCCACATTTTTGCAAAACAGTATAGTTTTTTTCAAAAACTTTGTTATGGGTGTTAAAAATACCTTGCCCCTCTAATTTCCATCCTCGGAGCCCATGCCCTAAAAATCCTATTTACTCTAATAAATCTCGTACACTCTTTAAAAAGAATGATACATCCTACTCAGAAATCGCCATTTTTATTATTTTAAAGAAGATCGTGTAATTATGTAAACTTTAAGACTTTTTATCTTAAATTTTATCACTTTCTCAACGGCTACCCCGTTACATTACATTTCAAAGAAATTTTGCACCTCTGTCAATCATATCTATGCTGTGTTGGCTAAATTTCACGGGTACACAGGGTTTTCAGTCCTAAAAAAGCCCTTACTCATAGGTCCACAGATTTTAAAAATCTTCTTTCAAGATGTACATTAGCGAGTGCAAAAATATATTACCATTTTATAGCTTTGTTTAGATATCTTGGTAAAGGACATATTATCCGTCCCTAGGCAGTTTTGTAAGTCCGGAGACACTTGTTTTTTGCAAATGGGTCTTAAAAATATCTGTGGCTTAAACACGTATTGAAAAATCTTATCCCCGAATATCTCTCTTCGCTCCAAGAAAGATTAGCCATTGATTTAATTGGCCTTAGGAAATAATTTGCAATGGGTTTTTTTCATAGTTTTATTCATTTTCCCGAAAACTCCTACTTCCGCATTCCCATTTCCCTAACACCATGTTGACAGTTAAGATAAATATCATACAAGTGACAGGAAAAACCTCTTTTCTAATCTCCTGCGTCATTTTGTAATGAAGCAGGGGAAAGCTAGCCTGCGTGCAGACTCTGTTGACAAATTAAAGTGGAGAAAAGTAGAGGGGGCTACTTTTTCTCCTTTTTTCAATTTCCGAGTCTGCATGCAGGCTAGAGAGAGAGGGCTAGCTTGATTTGCCCATGAACATTGACACACAAATGTACCCAGACTTTTGGCAGGCATTGTTTCTATATACATACAGGGCCATTGCTACGAGGGGTGTAGAGGGCGCAACACCCCCTTGAAAGAAAATTTCATTGTAAAAACAAGTTTTTGCTATTAAGGTAGCCTGAGCCAAAAACTCCAATATTTTAAGTGTGGGGTCTGGAATTCAGGCTAAATTAAGGTTGTTTCATCGAAAAAGTTTCAGATATGTCGAATAATAAAGGATGGCCGACCCACTTTGTGGGCGAATGAGATCGGGGCAACCACCTTGTGGAAAAAGCTAAGGCTCTGCATGGCTTTTCCAAGGAAAACCCTAGAATGATCACTCAAAATATGGGAGAGAGTCAGTCCGAAATAGGAATGTCTCAAATTCATTAAATTTGACTTTATTTACCCAGAATTTGAGTTGGGTGAAATTTCAAAATTTTGCAGTAAAAATACCCTAATGATTTTGACATCTAGGATAGTACGAACTTATTATTTTGCCCCTATACTGAATTCAGATTCAATAAATACACAGTGTTACTATATGCAAATGCAGAGGGTTCATTATAGAAAGTATATTTACCTTTGATCTGATTATCTTCTACATTGAGAACCCTTTATTCCCCTACAATAAATCACCCTGGGCAATAAGTAAAACAAGAAAATTTCTGAATCCAAGTCAAAGTGACAAATAGCTTTAATTTGCACATGAAAATCACTGTGACCGTCACTGTTCTTCTGTTCATTTTCTCAAGCACCATACATTTTTAAAATATTTTTAAGTACAGAGATACCTGCTGAAGTCGAATGTTGTGCTTGTGCACAGGAAATCATAAGGAATCAGTTTAACGGCGCTATATTGATCTTAAATATATTTTACACAGTTCATCATGATTAATCAGGACGATCAGATGGGATAAAGTGGGCTTTGCCAACGTAATGGAATTCTTGACATCGTTTTTACTTCCAACTGTTTATCAATAGTCGCTTTTTGGTCATTTTTGCTCGCTTAATCAGCCTGTTATCAGTCGACCATGTTTATTGCATCGAAAAATTAATTGCGGTTACTATTTTAATCATTCTGCTGAGTGAAAAATAAATAAACGGTTAATTAAAATTTGTTCATTCAAAGAAGGTTATTAAGTACATTTTATTCAAAATGGCTTGCTATTTGAGTTCATCCCAATCTGCAACAATAAAGGCAACAGCAACAACTGTGACAAAGATCGCGAAGTTTTATGTCACTGGAGATGGTGCATCTTGTTTATAGTGCATCTAGTGTAAAGAGACCTACTCTGATACAATAACAGAAATCTGTCAGCAAGATCTATATATGAAACATAATTCTATTATCAGGAACCTCTACGAGAACAACAATGACTGAGGATGATGATGATGATGATGATGATGATCACGGAAAAGATGAAGTTGATAACAAAACTAATAACCAGGAAAGCATTCCTGTTTTCATGACTGAATGCTGTGATAGGGCGTCCGACGACAGTGGGTGGGAGCGGTGGCTATGGGCCCCCTCACTTTTTTTGCTAAACAGAAGACGTTTTTACAAAATATTTTGTTATGGGTACTTTTTTTCTCTTGCTGGAGACTATGTGTGATGTATTGGGAGATGCAAGGCTAAGGCTTAAGTTCTCTACAGATATGTGCAACTAAATTTTCTCTAATACTACGAGAAAACAAATGCTCTCTCCGCTCTTTTCAGCTTTTCTCGACAATGTCCTCATTTCCCCTTGTCTTTTCCACAACCTAAAATTTAAAAAAGTTAGAAGTTAAAATATTTGTTTGATAAACCTAACTTTTCTTTATATGTGTTAGCTCAGTTTACCTTTTTCAGGAAAGGATTTTGGTAGCACGTGCATGTTTAGCCATGCAGTGACCTATAATATACACTGCGCTTCTAATTGTTGTCCCTACTAAAAAATTTATAAGAACACGAGTCTTAAAATTGGTCAAAAGTTAAAAGCAAATTAAGAACAAGCTGAGGCTGAGCTACTGTAAAATGCAATTTCGAACAACGTTTTATCTCAAAAACGAGGATTTGAGCCATGTTTGGGTGCTTTTTCGGTGAATATATTCAAACTTGTCGGCAAATGAAGGTTGTCTCACTCACTTTGTTGTCAAATCAGGCCTGAGCACCTCCCTAGAGCCAAAAAGCTAACAATCGCACTGTTACACCTTCTTAATTTAAGAGCAAATTAAGAACAATCCAGCCTCAGATTTTCGAAAAAATTAAAAACAGTCAACCTGAAGTTAAATTGACTGGTTCTTATAAAAAAGAGTGTAATTAATTTGTGGAAAAAGATTGCATCAACTAACTGGGATTTTTCATAAATATTTCTTTATCAGTTCATTTCTTGTCTCAGGCTTCCGCTGGGTGGAATTTCAATCCTAACTGTCTTCTTCAAAACGTTCCCTTCACCTTTAGAAGTTACTTTTCTTAGAAATTTAACTAAGTTGATAACATCAATGGTTTGATCTCTACGTTTTGTCAAGATAAGAGGGAATAAAAAAGTACAGTGCTGGGGATTTACAGTATTTTGTTCTTTTATGTAAGAATATATGCTATTAACAGTTGAGAATCAAATAAAAAATGCTGCATTTCAAAGAACTTTCAAACAATTCAAGTACCGTTCTGAAGTATTGAAATAAATTGTAAAAGACTGCCTTGGGAGGTCTAATTTGTAAGAAAATGAAGAAAAACGAGAAGAAACCATTATCAAAAGAGAACAAGGTAAAAATGGAGATGGACTAAAAAACTTGGAAGTTTGATTGGTGACAACCAGGAATTAAAAAGGAGGGAGCAACTTTCAATAATGGCTCATGTAACGGCAAAAGGATTATTGATGAGCAAGAAAGCCAATATTCAAATGAATCTAAAGATTTACAAATCAATTGTAAAGCCAGTGTTAACATACAATCTTGGAACACTGGCACTTACAAAAAATGAAAGCAAAGAACTAGACTGCATCCATTGAAAGTACCAAATTAAAGTACCTTTAATCCTTTAGTTCATTGATGAATATTATTTAGGTATAATTTTCATTCAAGAAAACTATATTTGCAATAGACAATATCGATGAAGATAAAAAATTTCCAACAAAATTACTTTTTAAGCATTTCTAGAAAGCAACATTAAATGGGAGTCTTATTACTCTATGTTACTCTATCTTTTTCAAAATATGCACTATCCCTCTTCAAAACTAGTCCTTCAAGGAATATCTGGGGTGTTTGGTGAAAATCTCCAACTGGTAAATGGAAAGAACGATGAAGGGGTCTGGAACGAATCTTGATATTTGCTCGCAACTTCATAATTCTTAAAGTAGCAAAGAAAAGGTTCATTGTAACTAGCTTCAGATGATTACTTTCTATGAATAGAATCATAAATATAAAAATTTGTCTTGCTCTATTTTGGTTTCTGGCAACTTCGTTTTTTCACACGATCCGTATGCTAATTGCATCAGTTAGTCAATTGCAGTTTCCGTAATTCTAAGATTTGAGCACATAGGTATTGCGTTAATGTTGAGATGATTGAATCAGAGAGAAGTTAACCTGAAAACAGAATATTGAAAAGCAACATTTTTAGTGTTGTGTGAAAATTTTCGAAGTTATACATAAATGTAAAATTCGCTTCATTTCTGCTTTCGCTCTTTTTGATACTTGAACTTGCCTGTTTTAATAACTGAACGAATTTTATTGGAAACTATATTTAATACTACCTGCAATTCGTCTTGAAGCTAAATTTTGGCGAAATTTAGAGCTCAAATGATTAACTTTTTCATGAACTATTTTTTATTTTGCTGTGAATGTCTTGTTATGGTCTCTAGTGTCCCTTGCCAGCGCATGCAATCCTCCATCAGAAAGAACAAAAGCAAAACAGAAGCCTGGGGAGAGAAAGATATTTTGGCCCCCTGTCAGAAGACCAAGCCACCTCCGAAGGAAAAATTGTGGTGCCACCAATGCGAATTTCAATGCTACATATACGAAACCTTACAACGACATTCATAGCCTCCGAAAGCTTTACAATAGTCAGTGCCGCCGAGGGGCTTGGAGCCCTAGGGCAAAGCCAAAAAACGAGTCCCGTTCGTCCACGACGTTAAAGTTAGCATAAAACAAATTACAGAGTATTTTTGTAGTCATTTTCTTGCAATCGATTAATATTTTTTAGGCATAATTTTGTTGCATTTAGTCGTTAAGTCCGTGCTTAAAATGGAATTCATTCCTTTTTAAGGTCACCTAAACCTCGAGGCCCTGTAACAATTGCCCCCCCTGTCCCCTCCCGGTCACCCTGACAATAGTTAAGCGCCAGAAATGGCAAAATAATTAAAGGTTTGAAAGCCAGATTTGCCTACCTTGTTTGTTGATTTAATTTTGTCAATAGTAACAGGATTATTCTTCAAGAAAAACGAGCTGACATTTACGGTGCTTTCATTCTGGCTATTTTTGGACACTCAACACTGATGTCTATTATCAGCTTTGTCGAACCTCAATTAACGAATGCAAAACACCTTCGTACGCTCGTTCATTCATTCATTCATTCATTCGTTCATTTATTCATTCATTCACCTAACTAGATACCAATCATCTGAGCTATTTCAGAATTTTTATTGTTTAGAACGAAGAATCTCCCCAAAAAATCTCCTAATCTGCGTATTTCAAATACTTCTTTAACTTTAGTGGTGTCTTATCTCTTTACGTGCATAAAAACACCACCCACAAATTCTGTTCTTTACCAAATCTGACCCAAATCACAGCATTTGACTAATTTTAGTTTAAATTCGCAATATGGGTTTTCCTTCAGTACAGACCTTTAGAATGCACAACTGAACAGAAAGCTTGCAAAAGTCGTCAAGGAAATCATCAGGAAGTCGTCTACTAATCGTGATTGCGTGAAAGAAGGCGTTGCCAAGGAAAAACTTGGGAAATGGGAGAGGGGAGGGGAACAAAAGATAGAGCTCGGGCACACTCTTTTCAAAATGCGACACGCATACACCAAGTAAGATGAAAAAAGCAGGTTCCATCATACCAGGGGTGGACACTTGGTCATATTATTTTTTGGGGGAGGGGGGAGCAAGCCTATTGTTTTGATAAAGTGATGTCACAATTTTATATTGTTTTACAACAAAAGACTATTGCCCTCAAAATATTGGGTGCGCCCCCTCTCCCTTTGATGTCCGCCACTGCATCATACATTACAATGAAAACAAAGTTTTTAAGAAACTGGTCAATCTCTTTAAAGTCCAAGCGTCCTGAGCATTTCACGGGAAAATATTCAAAATCAATTTTTTTGAAAGTCCGATTCGTTCGATCATTTTATCCAGTGATCAAAATCTTGTTCGAAAATGTTCAACGTTGTTCGATTGAGCTTCAGCGAACTTTTCCATTCTTCCCAAATTTCTGAGAAATGTTTAATGCGTTTGACCACCTTGCGAGGATTTTGGTCTTGCCAGTTGATGATTGCTTAGGTTTAGATATATAATCTAGTAGTTTGTATGTGACTTCTGTATAGGAAAGTGGTGCCGTGACCAAGGACTCCGAACAGAGCAGGACACATGTATACCTTCTGCCAGCCGAACGAGAAGCCATGAATACGCAGTTGTATGGGAAAATGCTGACCAGGACTCGCTAAAATTGATGACAGCAGAACAATATTGGAAAATTTAAAAATCAGAACCGAGACTTTATGTAAATGAAGCTTTCTATTTAAAGGAAAGTGCATCTTCGAATCTTTGAAGTTTAGTACACAGGTTCATTACTTGCTTGTTTTGCATTACACATTTTTTTCACAACTTAATGTGTTTTCCTCTGCCTTTCAACCTTTTTACGACAAATCTGTGATGATTGCCTTTCAGTTAATTTATCATTGCGCAACTTTTTATTTATCGCTGCACATTTTGGATCCATCACTACACACTTTAATAAGAACTTAGCCCGAGGCCTGGTGCTGAACGAGGCTCGTGTACGATTATACAGATCTTTCTATGGAACAAAACGAGATCCCAGTTTATTAAAAAGTTTTTCATGGTAATTAAATGAAATGCATACTATGTTCTAACTACGATAACACATTTACAATAAGATACGAAGTAGATTACTTTAGAATAATACTTACAATAATTTACTCAAAATTTTCTACTCTCTCAGATATACAGGCAATTGATCGATTCTTTAGATATCAGGATTCTTTAGGCCTTTTTGGACAAATACAAAACCAGATGCTAATTTTTTGTGCGTTCCATGACTTCTGCGACACTTTCAAGTGCAATAAAGTCATCACCCTTTAAGAAGGCCCAATGTCTCAATAAAAATGTCTCAAAACACACATAAATAAAGGCAATAGTACTCCTATTCATCCAACTCATTTTTAAATACACTTAAGCAAGCACCGAAGTCCCAAGTTAATTGGGATTAAATGCAATCTGGTACAATAGCTTGGGTTTGTGTCCAATATTGACTTTTCAGTAGCAACGAATACACGGTAGTTGAAACTAGTAACATAACCAAATGCAATATAAAGAGAGCTTTATACAAAAAAGGCTGCTAATGACTTCTTGCAGCAACAGACCTAGTAGTCAATGATTTCTATGAGTCCATTATCTTCTTTATCCAAGGCTGGTACGTTGAAACTTTGGTAAAGACTGTGAAGCGGTCAAGTGCATCACAAGTGCGAGAGCCCCAGCTAACAACACCTTGTAAAACCATGCGACCGTCTTTTTCACAAACCAATGGTCCACCGCTGTCCCCGTGGCAGCCAGAGCTGAATATGTTTTTGAAGTTTCTCGTACACAACATTCTTGACGTTACTTTTCTGGAAGAGAATCTGTTGCGACTTTGGCACTGTTTGTCGCTAAGAATGTTCATTGGAGCTTTTTGTAAAATCATTGCAGAGCCTGAGGTTATCAGCGTCCGACCCCAACCTATTGGAAGAGAATTGGTTAGTTTTTTAGAACCATAAATGCTTCATACATTTATCATGCATTGTATTTATCATACAAAGCTCGAACCGAAAGAAAATACAGCTATTCACAAAGACGGGGAAAGTATTTTTGATCTGCGTAGTTTAGAATTCGTTTTCAACGTCTGTGAAATGTTTTTGGATTGATAATGAGGATACCAGGCAATAATTTTTTTGCAAAACGAACAAATAAAATGATAGTTTCGTCACAGAATAATTTTATTATGTCTCTATATGAAGCGTTTTCAACTATCTTTGCTTGCTAAGGCCCTTCTTATGGTAGGTAGTCATTGCATAACGGATGTACAGAGAGAATTCGATACGAACGATTAACAAGACATCGGCACGATATCGGCTTCATTTATCCAACTGCCTCGATGCTTCTCTCTTATTGAACACTGATCTCAAAAAAAGACTGGATTGAGCGTTGATTGCAGCGTCCATCTTGAGACCTCGCCGTGTTGCACGGGAGTGCAATCATGTTGGTTTCAGTTCAACTTGCTTTTTCAAAGCAAAATTCACAGTAACCGTTGAAACAAAAACTTGCAGAATTCGTAAGTGACGTTGTGTCATAGAAAATTTAAGAATTTAATGATTAATGCACAATTTAAAGCGCAGTACTGTGTGTGCAGCATTTTAACAAATTGCAGCCTAAAACTTTAGGCGCGAGAGGTCTCAAGATGGAGAGACTTGATCGCTTACTCGTGCTGATGTAGGAGAACAATAGGTTGTTCGATCCAGTCTTTTTTTATTGCTTTTCTAATTTGAGATTTGGAGCGACAGCGACAACGTATCGAATTCATGCGTTCACACGAATCAACAAGTGATTCGATATCTCTTTGTGCTGCTTTCACAGGGAATTGATTTTACACCACAAAATGACCTAACCTAATGGACTCAGTGTAGCCGCGTGAAGAGAAAAAAGCAGCATTTTGTGAACATGGCCAAAGAATGTGTAGGCGCTGGTTCGACTAGCTTGTGATACAGCAGGATATGACTATGTATTTGAAAAATGTTTGCTAGAGTTGCAATGTCATACCTGTAAGAAAGCATTGTTTCCCAACTTCGGGCACTTGGCCTGCCTCAGGTAAACACGCTGGGGTAACAAATGCCGTGAGCACTGCTTCAGTCGCCAGTTCAAGGATTGCAATATCATGTTCCCCTCCAAGTACAAACCTAGGGTGTATTATAATTCTTTTCACGTCGAAAGTTTGCTCCGTTCCCTCCTTGTCCTTTCTCTTGTGTTCACCTAGAATAAGCTTATAGTTGTTGACGTTAGTATTTGGAAAGCAGTGAGCGGCAGTGACAACAAAGCGGCTGTTTATCAATGTACCACCGCAGCTAAAGGCACCATTCTTCTGAATCGCAACTTGCCAAGGCCAGTAACCCTTCTTCGCATCTTCACCCGCGACGACTGGTCTTGTGCCTCTTTTTCTTGCCTTTGCAATTCCACAAGAATAGGTTTCTGGCAACGAATAAAAAAGTTTATTTTTAAAAAAATTGACATTCAACAGTGCTGGAGCATTCTACAACAAAAAATGCGATGGAGCATTCTACAGCCTTTTTCTTTAGGGGCCTCTTGGGGGTTTTTCCGGGTTCACTCTGGGCGTTAGTTCATTCTTTGCTAATTTGCCCCTCGGTCTTTGCCTTTAGTGGGGTTTTTGAGTCGGTTTTGCCGGGGTCTCTAGCAAATATGTAAGCAAAAATATCAACTATTTTTTGAAGCAAAGCATTTACCTTAATTAGAAAATAAATTAACATACAAACTGATAAATACGCATTTTTATCGGTTATTTTCAATAAGTACCCGGCCATCAAGAAATCAAAAATCAAGAGATCAAAAGCACTGATCATCCTCAAAATTTGAAAACTGCTCGAAAATCTATTTTTGAAAGATTGGGTGAAAATGATCAGGGATGCCGGAGATGCTCGGGGGGTCAACCGTCCCTGTTGCCTTTTGATAAGATGGGCAAAAGAGGCCAGAGTTCCCTTTTGATTAAAGTACCCTTGAACCGGCAAATTGTAATAATCAGAGAGATTCACATGAAATTCTGATTGCATCGCTCAGTTCATGACGAAGTTTCATGTGGTATGAAGCCTTATGCCAAATGTAAGCCAATTTTCAAGATACCAACAGAAGATCAAAAAAATACCAGTTAGTAGAAGGAATTAGTAGAACTGGGAGTTATCTTTCAAAGGCCCTTTTACTCAAGGTTGCCCCCTTGCCTTTTGGTCGTTCCGGCGCCCCTGCAGATGATTTTTGAACGATTAGGCAACTATGTCCCTATTCACTTGACATATTTAATAGAAAGATGGATTCCTTGTGACTGTTCAAATGATCTTTTTCGTGCTGTCTTATGCTACGATTTTCTGTTTGAAAAAAGTAGCTGTCTTGCACCTGGTGAGCCTAGCTTCTTATAAAAAATGCGTGGGGTTTACTATGTTTTTATCTAAACAAACTTATAAAGAAATTGGATATGAACAGCTGATCTAGCTGTGATTGGCCTTATCAAGGACAAAAGCACTACAGAGGCAGCAAAGACCACTGCCTCGGAAAATGTCGGCTCTGTCAATTGCTATTGGACTTTCATGTAATATTTTAAAAGATACTTACTTGATAGGTCGCAAAGACCACAAGTCTTACTACAGCCTCGAGCCATGTATGACCTGTACTCGAATCTTTCACAAAACCCACGACGCTTGTAAGTTTTGCAGAGTTTTTCATTGACACTGTCGTTACATTTACGTTCTTGTGCTGTAGTGGAAAAAATGGTTACGTTAACAATGATGTAACATCACGTTTAGGTTTCGATAAGTGAAAACGAAAAGTCGTTGTGCGGTGGCAAAGAATGAGTGGATGCGGAGGAGGGGAAGGACAGTGCTCTGGGCTAATCTGACAAGATTCCATTTCTGGGATCTTGTTTCTGATTGGACAGTTACTGGGGCTGCACTTTGAACGGCTGCCGAGGAGTAGGTTGGCCTTGAACACCAAACCTAATTGCTTTGTAGTGTATTTGTAAAAGCTTGTGTTGTAAGTGTTGATGAGTTGTAACCAGGTAAGTTATTCGATCACCTTTTAGGCACACAATAAGTATAACAGAAACAGAATCAGCTTTATTCTTACAAAAGAAATATTGGCCATCATCCGAATGCCGAAAGTTCGCCATGCAAGCCACGAAAGTTCGCCAAATATTTATTATTCTATGACTAAGCAGAAAACAGCTCTGCCTTTACACTGAAAACAATCATGTGTGCGCGGCTGTGCCGGCAAGAAACTTATCTCAACGCTGAAGATCATTGGGCCTACATGAATGCACACTGTAACGCACTGTACTAGAAACACAACATTCATTGTTCTAGGGCCAGAGTCCGCTGGTCTAAAGGCAGCAGACGAGAAATATTTATTGCAAAAACAGCGAGAATTGTCAGAATTAAGGGAGAGGTTTCTCTTTTCCTGGTGTACTGCACAGCACATATAAAACCCCATGACTCCGTGCCCTATGACCCCGTGCTCTCATGAACTAATTATGCTCATTTCTTATTTAGCAAACAATGCCAAACAGTTTCCTTGAAAATTTGCTTCCAAAATTTCAGTTTTTCTTTCGAATTGATTATAAACAGGGCTTTCCTTGCATACAACAATACTGGCTCATTAGTGGGCGGCCTTTGCCCGCTAAAACGGCCGTTATCAAAGGTATCGGTCTTTGCCCGCGAAGTCAAAACGAGATTCGTCATCCTCGAGCCAGAGTCTCTATTTTCATTCCTTTATCAAAAAATATTTTCTTGTGACTATATTTCTGAGACTAAATAATTGAGACACTGGTACCCAGGGTAACAATGAAGCAACAATTCTTTAAAAGCACACCAATCGATGTAAACATTTTACACCCATCAACGAGCGTGAAATCCAGAAAACAGTTTAATCTAGATACCGAAACAATTATGAAAAGCTAAACCCAACTTAATTTTCTTTCCTTTGCTATATCTCAAACTTTCTATTAATTGTCATGATATATGCCAGTTGAATGGCTAATTAACATAATATCACACGACTAATGAACTTAGTAAATAATAAAGTAACACAACTCGGTCCAAAAAATGACCCCCCGTTTTCATGTCATGTATAACTGCAGTTTGGCCTCCTTTACGACCGACATATAAACAATGTTTTTTCAAGTGGAAGCATCAGCCTCACCTTTGCACAATCCACATGACTTCTTACAATACTTTTTCATGAAATTCTGCGTGAATATTCTTTTACTGGTACATTCTCCTATTTGCTTTCCATATTTGCAGTATGTAGACTTGTCTTTACAAATCTCTACGTCCTCTAAAGAGAAATAAAATAGAAATATAGGCTATGATCAACATCAGAAAACAAAGAAGAACTTTGGCAAGATGACAGCAAGATGGCCTGTGTGAGCTGGTATCCAAAATCCTTAAATGTGCAAAAAATATCCTTTTTTCCCAAAAAGTTGTTAGACTCCTTAGACGGTATATTTAAATGCACGCAACGAGCACAGCCCATTCTCACAGTGTGTTCAGTTACCTGAAATATTATTGACAACCTAAACTACCCAAATGGAACTAGCCCCCTTGTTCTTTCCCATTAGCTTGATCCTATCACTTCTGAAGTTCCTTCTTTGCCCTAAAACTATTATCCATTAGAAATACAAGAATAGTGCATGGACAAATCGATCTCTAATACTCACTTTTTGTTGGGCACAACCCACAAGATTTCTTACAGTATCTTTTCAAGTAGTCACTAACACGCTTTAAGGTAACTGTGCAGTAACCCCTTTTCCTCCAGGAAGGACATCTTGTGTTGTAATCTTTGCACCCTGAGACTCTCAAACTGGCTGGTGCTGCAATATAAAAATAAACACTGCATTCATTGTTGTATAGTATAAAACAACATTTCTAATGTCTTCCTTAACAAGCAGGAAACTGTTGATTTAAATTGCAATTGAATTGTAGTATGTTCGGCAAAATGTGGTATATGGTATGCTGGTTTGTGAAAGAGCTGTGTTTAAAAATCTAATTTTAGTTTCGTCGTTTGCTGTTTCAGGCCCAAAAGTCTTTTTTCATAATGTTTAGACACTACCTTTGCCACAGCTGCTGTCGTATTAAGGTATGTGCCACCTGTTTTCTGTTATTCTACAAAACTTCAAGTTTCGTGTATTTGAATTTCAAAGTGAAGGGATCATACACTGATAGATGCGAGGAGTAAGCAAGAGTGGTCGGACAAACCCCCCCCCCCCCTTCCCCACATGGCAAAAATCTCTTTATAAAAGGGCGTTTTCTGGTGTTTAAAAGAGTGTGGACCCCAATTTTCCCTTGCCAAACTCACCTTTGTCCCTTCCCAATCTTACCACCCTGGCTACGCTACAGACCATAGAGTAGCGAAATGTTCTGCACTAATCGTTGAGAAAGTATTTCCTCAAAAACATAGGTGACGTGGTCTCTAATGCCATGTATGATTCTGGAAAGGATTTTTGATGCTAGTTGATTTTCTATAATTTATTCCTAATGTTCCAGTTATGTGTACTATATTCCAACCGGCGTACGTAGCTTTCTAAAAAGGGATTTTTAGGGAATTTGGTAGGATTTTTCTTGAAAAAACGATTCTCGTCAAAGGCAAACAAGTGATACGCGCTTTTTTATTCACAAGGAGTGCATGACTCTCGCCTATATTGGTATCCCCAAACGTGCTATGTTTGTAACTACGAATGAATACATAAATTGAATATATAAACGAATAAACCTAGATGACATGGTTATTCATTTATCTTTATCAGTTGCATGGCAATTGGTTTCTTTGTTTCTTTTCTCACAGGCATAGGTTTCTGTATTTGTACATTAGCAGAACTGGAATTTTCTTTCTAAAAGCTAACTAACTGCAAACTGTAAAGCTAACTGCAAACTGTGACGGAATTTCAGGTTTTCATTTGGGGGGCTCAGGAACACCATTCCTCGACATGATATGTTAAAAATCAAAGGAAAGGCTGGATTTTCCAATATGAACGAGATTGTAGGGCCCAAGCCACAACTCCCTATAATTTCCATCACTGACCGCAAATAAGCTATAGCTATTCTGCATTTTTCCATGGATCTACAAAAATCTAGAAAAATCGCTAAATTCTTAAATCGTGGTTAGTAAATGCCTGATAAAGGCAGCTTGTTGTAGTTGTGGGCCATGGGGCAGATAGGTTTTTCCTTAGTGTCATTTCTTCCAAGCAAACTTGATACAAAAAGTTTCACTTGAACTTACGTGGTACCATCCCTTCTGGAAGAGTAGTTAACGCGTTCGCTAAAAAGAAGGTGCACACCACCGACACTAAATGCAAAATCGTGTAACCTCGAACCATGTTATAGCTCTGAAATGGAAAACATAATCACATTTACTAAAGCGATGACGTCACAAAAATCTGTTTTTAAAATTTTTAAATTTAGATCCCATAACCTAAAAGAGCATCATGAAATACATCTAAATGTGCAAAATCAGGCAAGTGTATTACGAAATGGCAGAGATATGGCTACATGTTTACTGGTTCTCTCCCCATCAAACCTCTGTATTTTGGTCTCTGTTCATAACTTTAGGAACAGAGCCAAAATAACAGTTATTCGTTAGCAAATCTTTCATTAGCCATATCTCAACCGATTTTAGACATATTTGGCCAATTTTGCGTATTTGAAAATATTTCATGGGGATCTTTTTTGCTATGTGGTTAAAATTCAAAAATTCTAAAAATAGGTTTTTCTCGACGTCACACCTTAGAACTCTATAGAGTTCTAAAGTGATGACGTCACAATTTCAAATATATGATAACACATGGGGATGGTCCGACATGTAAATGCAATGTTTGTCGGTATAACGAAAATTTGTAGATTATGTCAATGTATGTCCTTGTAGTTTTTATATTTAGCTTAAGTATTAACACACAAGCTTTCTTTGTTATATTATCTCATTGTTGTCAGTTTCGATTCGGGCTAGTTGTATGTGTAAATATGTATCTACCGTAAAAGCTCTATTAAGCCCCTCGGGGCCCATTTATTTTTTTCAGTCCTAGAGGGGGGCTTAAAAGAGGGGTGTGCTTATTAGAGAGAGAGAGAGGGCTCATTAAAAATTTGAAGTAAAAAATGTTTTAAAAATGCCTTTTTCTATTTTTTGTTATAAAAATGTCACACAAATGTTGTCAGAAAACTTCGCTAGCAGCTTCGAAAGTCTCATTAATCAATTATAAGGTCATTATCTTCATCAGAATCACCAGGATCAATTAATAACCTTGGGACATCTTCTAAACAAATTTCGACTGAATTTTTAGGCGCACAAGTAAGCCTTTACATGGGCCGTATTTAATGCACTCGATCTTATTATCATCACTCCAGTTAAGAGACCCACTAAATGCGCATGTTTTTTTTGTTTGACAACAAAAGCTAGAGAGGGGGCTTAATAGAAAGTGGGGGCTCATTTTAAATTTTTGCTTGATAAGGAGGGCCTTAAAAGAGGGGGGCTTAATACAGAGAGGGGGCTTGATAGAGCTCTTACGGTATACGTATAACTAGATGTAAAAAAAAATTAAAATAAGGCAACAAAACAAATCAAAAAGCACATTTTCTCTCGCAGAAAACTTGGTATAAGAAACGAGTACTGGAAAAGCATCAAAACTTCAGTACTCAAAGCAAATATAAAAAATTACGTAATTTCCTGGAAACACGAAACTCTGAACATTTTGTAAAAATCCTGCGAACCCCTCCGAAAAACTTTTTCTGGATATTATCTTTTAAAATGGCAAATGTTTGGTACGAGATGTTTATTGATTACCGCAAAGGTGTATGAGATTCTTATGGAGAGAATTGCCCCTTGGCCTAACGTTCTAAATTTTAACTAAAATTAGTAATTTTCAGTCCAAAACACATTTAAAGATGACATATGTAATTTAAAAACAGGACAGTAAAAAAATTCATGCACAAATTGTTTAAGAATGCAAAGCAAGAAAACTTTATCTAGATACCTGAAAGTGTCCTTTACAAAGAACGTTTGTATGCCCGCAGTCGACAACTAAATGGTCTCAAATATATCGATCGCCTCTTTTTATACTTTCGTGGCAACTTCCTGTCTTTTTAAACATCCTTCCTTCCCTCCTTTTTATAGAAATGAATGGTCATTTTGCTATTTAATGACTGGCAGAATTGACCTTTGTGGCTAGGTCCAAAACCAAGCACAGTTCAGCACAGTTACCTGTAGCGTCAATGCGATGAATAAAGAGATCTCTCCCCACCCACTTGCCTAGATAATGCCTCTTTCAGGCACAACTGAGGGATTGTGACGTTACAGAACAACAGGTTTTTGCAATTGGTTTATACCTGATATGCATTGCAATATAATTTCGTGTGAGGCCCTTTGTCACGCGTATTGCTTGACTGGGAGGACCAAGTCCAAAAGAGGACCAGATAAATTTAGTAAAGAACTAAACAAACAATCAATAAAGGGAAATGTCCTTTTCATATCAAAGCCAACTGTGGTTGGTTGGTACATATCCCCACTTCTAGCCACGATCGGTTTGCCAATTGCCAGTGCATGATAATTTTGTGTTCTCTTCAGAAACCGCTCTATACGAAGGCTAAGAGCCTGCACTTTTCGGTAAAATTGCTGATAAACTTTGAAATAGAAATCACGGCGCTTGCATTGCATCGACGACAAAATGCAAGCAGACAAATGATGTAGGTCGTAGAAAAGCCCAGGGATGCCAAAACGACCAAGGGGCAAGGGGGCAGGCTTGAGTAAAAGGGCATTTGAAAAAATATTCCTAGCTACTAACAATTCTCTGGTATGGCAAACATTTTCCTGATGTTGTTTTACTTGTGAACTTTGGTTCAATGCATTTGTTGTAATTTAAAAGTATATATATAAAAACACTTAAAGCTGATCTTAGTTTTTTTTGATTTGATTGAACTAAAAGAAAATAACTAATTGGGAGAAGGTGAGGAGAGATTGGAGAACAGCGAACCGTTAAGAGTAGAACAAGAAAAATTGACTGGAAGCAACGAAAATGACTGGAAGTTGACTGGAAGCAATCTAGTAGGAATGTTCAATACTTTGAAGATTATGGCTGTTTTTGCTCTAAAACCTTTTAACGCAGTAAAATGTTATTTAAATCTTTTTAGTACAGGAATATTTTCTGGCACCCGGATGTCATCATGACCTTAGAAAAGCCAATCGGTTAGTGAAAATGTGCTTTCCTTCACACAAATACGTGGAGAAATGGGTGCAACGACGCTATAAAACTGGCTCACCAATACAGACCACGTTTAAAGTGATGGCCTTGCTGACATTCATTGACGTAGTGGATGTTCAACGTTTAGGGGGTTGGGGCTTAGTTTGGATCTTGCCCAAACATCATTGCTCTATTGAGAGAGAACTGCCCAAATGGGGTCTGAAAAACGAACAACTTTGCCTGATTAGGGGATTGCAGGACCAAGCAAAAAAGACTCTATAAAGGCCTGGTAACTAATCTGATACTTGCGTATCTAGTATTTTCATAGAACTCGTTAATGAGCTTTAACAAATTACATGACAGCATATGTTATAAGTTTTAAGAATAGCTTATCATTGATGAATCAAATACCAAAATATTTTCGTAGATGCTTATCATTGATATTGTCAATCCAAGAATGCTTGATTCCCCTTTTCGCGAACAAATAAAACATTCACTATAATCAGAGGCTCAGAAGCATTTGTTCCTTACTACTGACTTCAGGGCCGTCGGACGCTGGGAAGAGCCTGTGGGGGCTGGAGCCCTCAATAATTGTCAAAATTTTGAGATATTTCCTTTATAACAGTGTACTGAATGGGAAGCAATACAATGGGCAGCTCCCCAATATGAATTTCGTTCCGACGGCACTGGACTCCATGAGGTTTTCAACTTGTCATGAATTTTATGAGGTTTTATGCATTTCAGATTTAAGAATTTTGGTTCAAGAGGGTTTAAAAGAAAGGATTTAGAGAGTGAGGCTTCTTATAAAATTAAGGATTAAGGTTTGTCAGTGGCAGTTGATAATGTCCTCATCTTCATCAGAATTGAGGTCAATTAATAATTCTGATCAAAACCGGGGAGAGGTTTTATAGAAAGGGGGAAATTATTTAAAGCTTTTGCTTCAAAGGGGGGCTAATAGAGAGGCTTGATAGCGAAGGGGGATTGATAGAGCCTTTAAGGTATCAACGGAATACATACTCTTGGTGCTCTCCGAGGAACAGATTTACTGAGTGATTTGGACAGAGACCCCTGAGTCCCAAGCATTCATTTTTCCAAACCTAACTTGACCAATCAGCTGGGCAGATTTTGAACATTCTTGGGTGAAAATAGAGGCGAGACAGGGAGCCCTAATTGTGTGATATACAAATGGCAGGTTTAGGCTGGACAGTTTTTCCAAACTACGTCGTCCGCTTCTGTGCCTTCCCCTTCCCATTGCACTTTACATGATTTGTTACGTCATAGTAGACATAGCGGCTTGGAAGGCTGCAATGTTTATCGCATTTGAGGCATCATTTGCGCAGTTCCATTTCAATTGTACCTCAACAGCAAATATGTTTGGGCACGTTTCGTACAAAGCCCCCCTTTCTCCCCCACTAAACCTGTAGCATCCTCTATGCCAATGTTGAGTAGTTCCGTTTTAAGGTACCATTTTGGGTGCAAAATGCATTCCAAACATTAACCTTGTTCTTAAAGAAATAATTATAAATTCATTCATCTAAACCTTTCGTAATATCTGCGTCTGCTTTACCCAAATACCGTAAAAAGCGAAATTAGCGCCCGGGGCGCTTATATAAGAAAATAAACGTTTACAGGGGCGCTTATTCGACAGCGGCGGTTAATACAGGGGCGCTTATTAATTTTCGCTCAAATCATGTAAGGGAGAAGATTTATTTCCAGTGTTTTCCAGTTATTTCTTTGAAGAAGATTATAACAATTGTGATAGACACTTGATGACAAAATGGAAGGTCCTGTGAAATGTCAATTTCTTCATCCTTTTCATGGTCTGAATCAACTATTAGAAATTCAGGACCTGCTATTGCAACATCGTCTTCCTCAATTTCGAACGGGTCAACAACTTTTTCATTTAAGATTGAAAATTGGCTTTTAAAATCTCCCTTCCAGCTTTGCAAGGCTGCTTTCTTAGAAACAATGATTGTAAATGTCATTCTAACTGTAAATGTAAAAATTGTCGGTAGAACAACATTAGTGGAAACCCCCTTCGAAGTTTTATTTATGTAGATATTTAATTTTAGCATTAGTACTATTCTGTAAATTTTTCTTTTGTAGATAGTTGGTTTAAACTAGCTGTCGTATTTAGCTATTATGAATACCAACTTTAAATATGCAATAATGATAATAATAATAATAATAATAATAGTAATGAAAATATTGGAAACATTTCATTTTCAATTCAATTTAAACTACAATTACAAATCCCACTATTACAAGGTAATTTGCAATTGGCTAGCCTGGTTTTACAAGATAATACTATAACAATCGTAAGGTAAAAGGAAAAACTGAGAAAAAAACAACAAAAGTTAAAAAGGATGTAATTCCGGATTTGTCCATGGCTTATTTTTGCAACAAAATATGTAGTACGTAGTACGGATGGCAATGTTGGAAAGTTTAGAAATGAGATACCGTTTTTGTTGCTGATCGATGGAGAGAGAGTCACACATTTTGAAGAATGAATTGCAGGAATTGCCGAAGATGCCAAGAGAGCTCATAGAAAGATTAACAAAGGCGACACATTTGAACTGCCTCTGTCAACCAGATAAGAGAGGAGCATACTTGCTGTGTTTTCCTGTAGCATTTGTCTCAAGATTGGATTCGAAGCAAACAGTTAGCTCTAAAATGTAGAGATAATTGTTGTTAGTCCTCAAGAGAAGATCAGGGCGAAGGTTTTCTCCAGTTATGATTGATGGTGAAAGAAAGCCAGGTATATCAGCGTAGATGGTAGATTTATTGACAGCATTTAGTGACGTAGCTAGAAAGTTTAGGATAGAGTAATGTCGCCAGGTGTATCGGCCTTGTTCCAGATATGTTTTGCAGCCAGCAACAACGTAAAGGAGGGTTTCTGGCAGAAAACAGAAAGAACAGTCAGAGCTCTGGTTCAAGTTTTTCTGTGTGGCAAGGGTATTGTTCAGGTACCTTATGGTGAAATTGAAAATATTCTGAGGCATGCTACTTTGCACCTTGGACCAAAGTTTTTTTATTTGTGGAAGATTCTGGTTAAAGAGATGTGATAACAAAGATCCTTGGGAGGTTAGGATGGATACGAGGTTGTCAAGATTCTCGACAACCCACGTCTTTGAAAGATCTGCTACAGTAAACGATAATAATAATAATAATGAGATTGTCTTCTGACCCATCAGTTGCTAGGTTTAAAGCACACGACATGAAGGATGTTAACCCTTGTCGGTCATATTGAACTCTCTCGTCTCATAGATTATTTCATGAAAAACAACGGAAACTTTGTTTCAGCTGTGGTTGCCGGACAGAGAAAACGCGAAGTTAGACTTGTCGTTCCAGCGAATTTTTCAGCCTTTACTGACGATTTGAGGGTTGCCACTGTTCTCTCTGCAGAAATTTTGAAGATTTAAAAGAAATATTCCCACTTTGAGTTAGCTTATACGGAGACCAAGATAATTAAACGATCAATTATTATATAATTTCTTGTTTTTAAGTATATTGAAATACATGTTGACAATGAAATATGTCGTTTTAGCTAAATTTAAATATAGCTCCGTCTGATTTTTTGCATCTAAATTAGCGCCCCATTTGTCTAGAGGGAGGGGGGCTTATTCAAGCAGGGGGCGCTTTCTGCAAAAATTGCCTTTATCCCGGGGCCCTTATTCGGCAGGGGTGGTTATTTGGCAGGGGGCGCCAATTCCGTCATATACGGTACCTGCCTGCCAGGTTCGCTAAAGCTGATTTTAGTGGGGGGCTCTCGACAAGTTGGCAAACTTTTACAGCGGTTACCACCATTATTTTGATGCCATAACCTTAATTCATACTTCAGCAAATAAAGTTAGGGGGCAACAGCCCCCTAGCCTAGCCCCCCCAGCTCCAGCGTGCCTGCAGTATACGGCTTCTTTGCAAGTAGTTCTTATGTAATATCAGCCAATCATTTAAATCTTAATATATTTTCAATCTTTTCCTGAAATACAATTGAAATCGACCTAAAGAATTAGGTTGCACATCTGTTCAAGGGCAGAGGGTAACACTATACTCTTTCGTTGGTTCGCGTTTGGGCTTAATGATTTCGTTTGTTCTTTGGTTCCCGTTGGTTCTCTTTGCTTGTTTGGGAGATGAATCATGCTCGTCTTCCAGACATGCACTAGCCCCCGTTTCAGGGTCATGGCACATGCGCACTATCACTTGAAGCCCTGATAGGAAGTTTAAAAATTGTGT